GAGGTCATGGCGATTTTGCTACCCCAGCCGAGTGCACGCCATAGCGATGAGTCTCCAATGAACCTTAGCACACTTTGTTGACGTAGCCCCCCATCGTGGCCCAATACGGATTCCCCCCTGGCTGGTGCACGTTCCAGCAACATCGACACCTGACCCAAACACCCCTGTACGCAGGATATTGTCAAGATGGACGACGACGGCAAGCCTGCCGCTTATCAAAGTCCGCCAGGATCTCCAAGAAGCGGAGATGGAGAAAAATATCGAAAGGCTGGTGCCCATGACGGGTACCGCGGGACAGGGACACCAGAGCCGACACCAAGCCCTCGACCAGTGAGTGTCTTTTGAAAGAGAGAAAACAGCTTCAACTTTCACAAATATCGCACGCAGTGCACACGAATGTGTTTGATAAGAATGGGCATGGGCTTCGTGAAACTGGGTTAGATTATCGGAGCACGGGAAGGTTCAGAAAAGGGTGTACGGTCTACCATGTGAGGACAGGTGGGGCCAATAACCGCTCCAATCAATCACAGGTAGATCCGAGTTCCACAGCTGCATCCAAGTGATATGGTCAGCCCGATCCGATCAGGAGCACATCATCAGACAGAACGCCCCCCAATTTCCGGTACATAGAGTTCACTTCCCCCTCACTTCCACTCCTTCCACGTGTTTGCCCTTGGCTACGACAACAATTCTGCTAAAGGTTACCTTTAATGGAGGCTACGCCAGGCCTCCGCGATATGAGCCCGAGGACGGCCTGTACATGAGTCCTCCTTCGCCCTCTGACGGCTATCCCACCGCACCGCCGTGCCCCCCTGCGGTAAATCCTTACTGCAACCAGCAAGATGCCTGTACCGGTAGCCCTCACCACGGGCAACAGCAGACCGGGACATTCCAAGGGTACATTGGCATGGCCCAGGGACTTCCTACTCCACCCCCAGGGTCGCCAGTAGGCCTGCACGGATCACCAGAGCACGGAATAGCAGGAGAAATAGGAGTAGCTCTCGTGTTGCCCCCCGGGTGGAAAACGAAGGTTCTGCCAGAGGGACGGATAATGTACATCGACCATAACACACAGGTGGGGGCCGGCATGGGGCCTGAGTGCGGGGGCTACGCACCCACTGCTTGTCACCGTTCGCCGTCGATTGCTTGTACAGGAGTGGGCAAAAAGCAGTGCACAGCTTCATCGTTTTTTGCCATTCAATGGGTGAGTAGACTATTCAGCCACATGTATTTCGCACTCTGCGAGGTAAAGGAACAAGAATCGGTGGTCATACGTTCGGTCCAGTCGCAACCACATGGCACAAACGTTTCCGGTGAAAGTCCCACCTTTTGCGACGAAACACTCTTGCCTGAATACCAAGTCAAGAGAGGGAAGGTTGTAGAGCAGCAAGAGATGGGACTTGAAAAGCTCCACGTTCCTGCATTCAAGCTGAATCCAACTGAATGGCATGCATTGACAGTTGGAACACCACCCAAGTAACATACTCCCGGATCCTGCTATCCCGGCACTCAAACCAACCAGAGGGTCCTAACTCCGTGTGTTTGGTTCGTACGAAAAAACAACGTCGACCGAAAAGCGTGAGATGTGCCCCTTACGAGAAGACATAATCTGGTTCCGTACAACTCTATCTCGCCACACTACGCGCAATCTGGCGCTTGATTGACGTAATGGTTAACAGTGCTTGATGTTGCTTTATTAAGTACCAAAGGCCTGTTCTCTGTTGCCACGGTTCTTGCGAGGTTGTCAATCTTGTGAAACTCTGGAGTATTCCTGGAGTATAGCTGGGGTTGGACAAAACTATTTGGAGCAGGGACAATACAGATGCGAACGATGCACATTATTTCGACTAATAGCTATGAAAGCGATCTGTAACCTGGACAGGTACGCATCAAGACTTTGACGAAACATCCCTTTGACAACAGCTATTTCAGAAATCGTTACTGTACCACAACCAACGAGCAGGATCGTGATTCGTATGTGCACGCCTAATCTGTTGTCTATTCATCGCCTTGCCCCTCTGCACCGCAGACGACCCATTGGGAGCCCCCGGCGATACTGCAGGTACCACCTTCACCTCCCAGCTACCACCAGCACCAAGACATACGCGGGCAGCAGCAGGTACCACCTTCACCTCCCAGCTACAACCAACACCAAGCCATGCACGGGCAGCAGCAGCACCAAGGCCACTGGCACCAAGTATAATTCTACAGCCCCAGCCCGTGCGCGAATTTGTTAACATCGTTCGACCACCACGGAACTCAGCGCTCTGTGTTTACAGTAGGTTCCACTTGATACGCCTCGCAGCTTGATTGATCTCGTTGGTGATTGCGACGAACATTTTTGTGGGTGAGAGCAGCGGAAATGGCCAGTTTGGCCATCGTACAGCATGCTTGTTGGGGAAGACGACTCGCGCGAAGATGCCAGCATCTGATAGTAGCGGTCGGCGATTTCGCTGAGGCGTCTCGTTTTTCTGTCTGAGCGCATATCATGTGTGAGCCTGGAGACCGCTGCGACGTGGCCGACCTTGGTTATGAGCTTGCAGCGGTAGCACGGCGGCTCACGCTTTTTGGAAAGCTTTGCGCAGGTGCTCGCTGAGAAACAAGACAACTTGCTTATGCCAGAGGTGGAACACTGCTGAGTGCTGTTGCGCAAGTCGATGACCCTCAGAACGATGAGATATAAGATATCGTTATTCCCGGCTGACTCCAAGGCCAGGAATAGATCGTAGAAGACGAGAGTAAGAGAGAGGGGCGCACTGGCCAGCCCTTGATCACTATTATAGAAACAATAGAGGCAATATCTTGTCGGGAAGACAGGTTTATGTAGGCATACCCACAACAGCGCGACTTCAGTGGTTAAAAACCATGTTGTGGATTGCTGAAAGCCGTAATGTCCGGTTGTCAACAACGATTGTGCATGGCACTGAGATATCGGTGTCAAGATAGATATCGGAACCAAGTGTGCCTCGACACTCCCACCCCACCTACCTTCACAACCCCTCGCTCCTTCTGCCCACACCCATGTTCTTCGCACTATAAAAGCCGCTCTTTCAAAAACATTCACACGCTGTCGAGGGCGTCCCCTGCGAAGCGTAAGTCGTCATCCGTGGCTGCAGCCCCGGACCCGAAGCTTATCATAGGTCTACCCAGCAGGAGGGCAACCCCGCCTGGCCTTGCCAGGGCAAAGACTATGTAACTACTGTACCTTTGGCCATTTTCACGTTTCTTTCTTGCACGTTCTCAATATTTTCGCAGCTAGCGCCGCTCCAAGGGTTTGACGTTGATTTCCCGTTTATTGTTTTCTTTCGAATTGCATTTATTAATATTTTTCTACAACCCGAGGGAAGAGAGAGATACCAAACTGGCAGAAAGCACGTTTCCCGCAGACACGTTTCTGCGGCCTTTCTATCGTGCCTCTGCCTCTCTCCCAATAAATCCTGTCTCTCTCTTCCCTCCAAACAGCAACTGAGGGTACTCTCTCCTGCGGTGGAGGGAACCAATCTTGCTGCACACAGTAGTCTCAGATGACCACGTCCCTAAAACGGTACCCTACCATTTTCTTCGCCAACATCGAGGTCAACATTAAACTACTCGTGCCGTGGGATTATCTCCTGTTATTGCCTATCTACCGCACACCGTGCTTTCCCCCGATTGCCTCCCGAATCGCTATGTCGTACCGAACGGGACACCCCTTGCGAGTCCTCTACTGTGGGCGGCTCCTACACATTCCTCTGTCTTCATCTTCCCGCCCTCCGGGACACTCGTTCCAATGTGTTGCCCCCAACAGCCATATACAGCAAATTCCCAAATCCGTAGCTAAATGGTGCAGCGCGCAATAGCTTCTGGGATTCATCCCTGTTTCGTAACTATTTGCCGCGAAGCTCCGCGGGCTTGGTCATACTTCAGAACTTGCACTGCACAACCTTTAATGAAGACAGGACGTTAACGGCGCGTCATCGGGCAACGTTGCACAACATGACAACGACGCCACCACCAGAGGAACTGCTCTGCCGTCTGCTCTGTATCCCGATGATGGGTCGTTAACCTCATCCCGATTCTTGGATCGCCTGCTGCGATGTACGAGGTCAGGAATAATCGCCACCCGGCGGTGATACGGGTGGCTTCCTGCACACCGCCGCCGCATCGACCAGCTGCCCCGCTCCGCGATTGAGGACCCGATGAGGTCGTCCATCAGGTCTGAGTTCGCTTGGGCCTTAAATCTCGCTGCAGCCCTTATTGCAATGGCGTCGGGCTGCCCTCATTCGGCCGTGTGTTTCAATTCACTTAGCTCTCGGCGACCCCTTCGATAGCATCCTTTTGATTCCATCGCCACCCCTGGGCCGCGGTCTGCGGTCTGCGGAGAAGACCGTGCACGGCACGGGCGCCTTGCTGCCCCGAGCGGGCGTAAGCCCTGGCTCCCATGAAGACGGTCGCGGCGTGGTCGCGGCGTGGGGCGCCCGACTGACATATCTGCCGTCATGGCTTCTGAAAGGGAACACCTGGTGTTGCCGGCCGCCATCCCCGCGCACCGGTCCGCCCGCGTAACCCTAACCCTGCCCAGGGGTGACCTCGATTCAATTGCCATCTGCGAGTGTGCAAGCGCTCCCTTCCACAACAAGCAACAGAACAACACGAAACCGGGTTGATGCGTTTCGCTCACGCGAATAGCGGAAAAGTTGGCATTCAAGTATTTCGTGCGTACATCGCACGAATACCGATCCTGTGGTAAATGTAGTGCTGTTGAAATAAGCCCCCCCAAACCACGCCGCCAAAACACGAATGATGTGTTTCGCCCCTGCACATACCGATTACATATCATTTACACGGCATGAGAGCTCAAGACCTCTTTGAGAATCTTTCCCCCGAGGTTACGGAGGAGATGGTCTGCCTGGCTCAGCAGAACTGGTATGGAACTGGGCCCAGTCTACCCCATTTACAGGTTTATGCTGGACAGTACGATCTGGCGGAGAAGGCGTACAGACAGGTGATCCGCTTCGAACATGCAGGTTAGGCCGTGTCTTGCCGTTGTCCATATGTTCTGTGTGCGGGAACTTTCCCAGTTTTCCCGTTTGCATATGTCTACACCTGTCTGCTGTCAGCGTGCGACCAGGAATCCATACATGCGTATACCTACAATGTGTGCTCTTTACATGCCAGCAACTCTCGAGGGGCGAGGACGCTCTACGGGTTTTTGAGGACCGGGGTTACCACGGTAGCAAGGAATGGAGAGAGTTGGTGCTCCTCGTCAACGGAATCAAGGAAAGCATCGTCATGGTTCTGCGGAAACAGGTACCGTAAGGCGTGAACAGCTCGAAACCCAAACATGGGAAGGATGCGCCAAAAATGTCGCGTGGCGGCGCACACGCCTTCGTGCTGTTTTGGCCTGGCGTACGCGGCATTCGTTTCGCTCTGCGCTACTTTGTTGAAGAATAGTGTTCGGAAGAGAGGCATTTGTTCGTTGTTGCGTGATGTGCTGCCATCGCTGGCCGTGGCAGTTACGCCCAGTTTTCGTGCAGGACAATGAGGTAAGGGGCCTTGAGGGCCAATAACATACTGTACGTGTTCGAGAGTTCGCGCCAGGGTAGTAATCCTTTTTGGCGGCCCGGTATCTCTACATTGGGATGGGCAACAATGTCGGAGAAGATGCCGTTGGGAAGATATTGCCGAGACCTGTCCGAATTTTTTTCTTCGAAATCGACAACCTTCACGTTGTCGAGACATATATCCGGTTGTCGAGATATCCGACCGTGAAAAACGTTACAACCCTGTGCGAACTCTCGAACACTTGAGGTATATGGTAAACACCTACGTGCAAGGCGATCCTAAGGAATTTGCGATGAAGATCTTCATGGCAATGTGTGTGCGCAATGTGCGCTTTCACATGGTGTTCGCCCGGGTAGCGTGCGGAATTCCGACAAGCACTACTCCTCCGTCCGCTGTAATGACCAAGTATTCCTATCGTGTTTCCCCTCACATTTTAGGGTGGTGAAAGGGGCAAAGCTTCCTGTAGGTTTGGGCCTGGAATTGTTGGTGTATTCGTCTGCGATCACGATCCCAACTACCGTATGCCCCAAAGCGGTACAGCCGCGCGCGTTGTACACTTTGTTTCGCGGTCACGAGCTTGACCAGCCCCCAGAATTCCCACGACGTTTCCCACCAGGGCAAGAGTCCAAAATACACAATAAAATATTGGTACGAGAAAACGCTAGGCCCTAACCACCCATCCGCCCACCCATGTTGACTATGCGCCGCACAACCGCGCGTCCTTGTCGACAACATCGTTAAAGACTGAACAGTTCTCGGATATTGAAAAGCTCTACGCCCTAAGCATCTTGACGTGCCGCCGGACTCAGCGGCCGGGCAGAAAGTGGTTGATAATGTTGCTCCTCCGCATTGTACTCTTCTACCATGGCAATGACCACATCTCCCATCCTGCTCTTCCTGTTTTAGGGCAAATACGGCGAAGCCGGTTCAATAGTTCTTCGATGTGTTGAGATTTATGAAGAGATGCTTAGCCTTGACCACCAACTTGTTGCCCAAGTCTACACCACCCGGGCGACATTGTTGTCGGCTCAGGTGAGACATGTCCGAATTCTAGGGGAAATTTCTTGAAGGATGTTCTTCAGGTACAGTATTTTAGTGCTCAACAACCGGGCGGAGTTGATAGAGAGCCACATGAGAGCCAAACGATGTTTCAAGAAGCCTCACAAACGGAAAAATAGCCCCGCCGTTCAAGATCCGATGTCTAGTCAGTATCCACGTAACAATCCAAGGCACTAGGTCGTGGGTTCGAATCCCGGCGAAGACGAGTTTTTTCTCACATTCGTTCCTGGTGCAAAATTTAAAAGGCGACCACCCGTTAGTAAACGCTACATTGAAAGCGGTAACTCGCAAGTAAATGACGAGGGTGCGGATTGCTGAACCCTGCTCGCGACAACAACTTCAAGGCAGGCACCGTAGGAAGGGCCCCTCCCATGTGACCCCACTTGGGTCGGTTAGCTAGTAGAGGTGGAGAATGGGGGCCAGAGGGGCAGACGACAGAAGTCCAAAAATGGGATGAAAAGTGGATACTTTGTTACTTCTGTGTAACTACGCTGCCGACTGCTAACACAGGGAAAATATGCTGAGGCGGAGCCGCTCTTTATGCGAGCACATACAATTCTAGAGAAGGTACTGATTCCGGAGCATCCTTCGGTGGCCATTTCCCTCCAAAACCGAGCGGGGTTGCTCGAGTCGCATGTGAGACTGCCAGAAGTTTGTGGGAAGCTTGTTACGGTGATTTGTTGAGTTTTTCCGTGCTCAACACCGGGGCGTGGTTGTTGAAGGCACAGGTGAGAGCCGTCAGAAAGTTCTAGAAAATTCGCAGGAGTCCAGAGTTGAGAATGTTTTCCTCCGCCTTTCTTGTCATGACCATATCCGTGCTTGACCTCTTCGTCGTATTCCAGGGGAGGCATTCTGATGCGGAGCCGCTCTATGAGCGGTCACAGGCCATCTTTGAGAAGGTGCTTGGTCCAGAGCATCGTGATGTGGCCCAGTCGCTCAATAATCGGGCGGAGTTATTGGGGAAGCAGGTGAGTGCCAAACTTATCTCCTATTGGGTTGTTGAGCGTTTGTTTCTCCGCCACGTACCCTGTTAGCGATGTACACACCTTCATTACGACTCTTCCCTCGTATTTCCGGGCAAGTGGGACAACACGGAACCGTCGTACGAAAGAGCTATCGCTATCGGAGAGAAGAAGTTGGGCCCAGAGCATCCGATCTTGCTGTGTGGCTCAACAACAGGGCGGGCTGTTACGACGTTGTTCCTCCGCATTGATCGTTTCGCCGTTCACACTGAAATACGACTCGACCGCGCTGTCCAATGCGAAAAGGGGCAGTACGCGGAGGCAGAGTCGCTCTATGAGCGGTGTCAGGCGATCAAGGAGAAGGATCTGGGCCCTGAGCACCCAAGTTCAGCCATAGCGCTTAGCACCAGGGCGGCGTTATTGATCAAGCAGGTGAGAGTGACCAGAATTTTAGGCTTCTCTTGTTGGCGCTCTGTGGATTGTAGTGCTCAACATCAAGCGACACAATTATCAACAGTCGGATGAGGTTGTTGAGGACGATGTTGCTCCGCTGTCAACCCCCACTAACATTGACCACACTCCTGACATGTTTGCCCGGAACGTCTCAGGGCCAGTTCGGCGAGGCCGAGCCCCTGTACAAGCGGGCCACCGGGATCTTGGAGAAAGCGTTGGGTCATGAGCACCCAGATGTAGGCGCAGCGCTCCACAACTGGGCGTTGTTGCTGAACAGCCAGGTGAGACCTGAAATATGATTCGGGAAGCATGTGGAAGGAACTGTTCCTCGGCAATATGCTAGATTCTACTTATGCTGAAATTCGACCATGCCATGTTGTTGCCTGCATGCCAGGGGAAACATGTTGCGGCCGAGCGGCTGTATGAGCGGTCAAAGGCCATAAAAGAGAAGGTGTTGGGTCCAGAGCATCCTGATGTGGCCCTGTTGCTCAATGACCGGGCGGCGTTGTCGAAGGCGCAGGTGAGAGCCGCCAGAGGTTTCGGGGAAGTTCATGCGATGCTATGTGGATGTCTATTTTGTGGTGCTCAACAATCGAGCGTTGTTGTTGTAGAGTCAGGTGAGAGCCGCACAATGCTCTAGAAGCATGCAGAAGAACCGTGGTTGCTGCACTGAGTTTGTAGTGCCCCTGTAGGCGAAACAAGCGTAAAACTACTTCGTCTCCGGGTTCGTCTCTCACAAGCTCGTCCCATCGGGTCCAACACGTTCTTGATCTAACTTTGTTCCAAAATGCAACCCGCCGCTGTCCACCAAATTGCATTTAATATCTCAGGGGAGGTATGCTGAGGCCGAGTCGCTCTATGAGCGTTCACAGGCCGTACGGGAGAAGGTGCTTGGTCCAGAGCATCCTGATGTGGCCCAGTCGCTCAATAACCGGGCAGCGTTGTTGGAGAGTCAGGTGAAAGCCAAACTTTCGTGCTTCTTGTTGTTGTTGATCATTTGTTTCTCCCGAACGTACTCTGTTAACGATGAGTACACCATCCATACCCCTGCTTGCTTCGTTTTTCAGGGCAAGTACGACGACGCGCCAGCGTTGTACGTAAGAGCGATCGCTATCGGAGAGAAGGCGTTGGGCCCCGAGCATCCAGATGTTGCGGACTCTCTCGACAACAGGGCGGGGTTGTTGGAGATGCAAGTGAGGATCTAAGGAATTTTGCAGGACTTTTCTTGGGGTTCACGTTTGGTTCAAGAGTTTGGTTTTCTTGTCACCATTAACTTGCACCACCCCATCGCTTCCTGCACAAGGCTAGTACGACGAAGCAGCGCGGTGTTGCTGAAAACATGTTCCTCCGTCCTTGTTGTAGAGCCAACGTGTACTCACGCGTGACTCTTGCCTTGCTGTCAACTACTATGCCCAGGGCAAGTACGCCGAAGCCGAGCCACTCTATGAACGATCGCAAACCATACGAGAGAAGGTGTTACGTCCGGACCACCCTTCTGTGGCCCTGACGCTCAACAACCGGGGGAAGTTGTTGCAGGCGCAGGTGAGAGCAGTCAGAAAGTTCATGGAAATTTCTAGTGACCAGTGGTGTGGATGGGTTGTAGTGCTCCACAACCGGGCACTTTTGTTGGGGAAACAGGAGATCCATGAGAAAGTTCCGGAAAATATATTGTGGGTGCCCCGTGCATGCTGTAGTTCTCAACAACCGGCAACCGGCCCGGTTGTTGAGCAATTATCCTTCCACTTTCAACCTTCACCAGCTTTGACCACACGTACTCCGGACACGTTTGCCCCTCACATCTCAGGGTATGTTCGGCGAGGCCGAGCTTCTGTACAGGCGGGCCACCGAGATTTGGGAGAAAGCGTTGGGTCATGAGCACCCGAATGTGGCGACAGCGCTCAGCAACCGGGCGTCGGTGTTGCAGAGTCATGTGAGAAACTTGAACATTTTTTCCAGAAAATTTCTTGTTGCACCGGATAGATTTCGGGCGTTGTTCCTGGCGAGCCAGGTGAGAGCCACCAGACACCACGAATTTTCATAGGGTTCAGGTGATATGATATATCAGGTCAGTTCGTGGTGAACCGCCTCCTGACATGGACCCACTGCTTACTTGCAGGGTACATACGATGAGGCCGACCTTCTCTTCGGGCTACCGAAATCGGGGAGAAAACGCAGGGTCCTGAGCACCCAGATCTTGCCAGATCGCTCACCAACCGGGCGGGGTTGTTCAGCGTTTGTTCCTCCGCATAGATAATCTCGACTCGTTCCTTTCCTAATGTTTTGTCTTTCGCCACATTCCAGGGAAAGTTGAATGAGGCCGGCCCTTTTATTGTTCGGGCCACGGGAATTTGGGACAAGGTGCTGGGCCCGGATCACCCGCAAGTGGCCACAGCGCTCAACAACCGGGCGCTGTTGTTGCACGAACAGGTGAGAACCGTCAGAATGTTTTGGGAAAGTTCTTCTTCGATAAGGAGGGTAAGGAGGGTGAACGTATTTTCGAATGTTTTTGTGATGGCTACTCGTTCCTCAACAACAGGGCGGTGGTTTTTGGAGAGCCAAGTGAGCGCCGTGAGAAATTTCCAAGATATTTCGCGGGGTCCAACTATTCGGTGAACTGTTTAAATTCTTGTTAGGCCGCTGCCTCACATCAAGGCCCTTCTTCTTTCACAGGGCAAATACGACGAAGCCGGGCCGTTGTATGGACGTTCCCTTGCGATCCGTGAGAACGTGTACGGGCCTGATTATCCTGCGGTGGCAACAGCGCTCAACAACCGGGCGGACTTGTTGAAGGATCAGGTGAGAATCATCTGAATTCCCTGAAAATTGTTGTGGCGACCTGTGGGTATTTTCCAATTTTCCCATTAGGGAAGTTGGTGGGTCTAGCCGAAACGCTGAAAAAATTCGGCTATAATTTCATGCGACCAACGAATTTGCGGCCGAATCCCATACTAAAATCCATCACGAATTTAGTCCCAAATTCCATACTTTGATCCCTAACGAATTTGCGACCTTTCCGCGATTTTTCCACATGATTTAATCCGTATCAAAATCGCGGAAGTGCTCTCTCCGTCGATTGAGCGTACGACCATCCAATCCGAGAGAGGGAAAGGGACAGACAGCACATACTGACCGGTTTGATTTCAATCGGTGCCCTACGGAGCGAGAAATCGGGAATGAGAGATACCACCAAGGGGGTAGGCGGGAGAGGTCATTTTTTACGATGATGGTGAAAATTCCGGCCGGCATAGCAACGGACACGACGCTGCTTCTCTCCGTCGATTGAGCGCACGGCTTGTTGTCCACTACATCCAGGGCAAATACTTGGAGGCTGAGCCACTCCATGAGCGGTGTTGGGCTACAATGTAGAAGGTTCTAGGCCCTGAGCACCCAAGCCAAGCCGCAACGCTCAACAACCGGGCGGGGACGTTGAGCGTTTGTTTCGCATTATCTACACCACCCACACGTTTTAGCCGTCACCATCATCTGTAACGTTCCTCTCTCGTTTCCCAGGGCAACCTCTCGGAAGCTGAGCCGTTGTTGAGCCGTTGTACAAGAAGACGCAGGAGATCTTTGAGAAATCGTTGGGGCCGATCTTTGAGAAATCGTTGGGGCAGGATGATCCCAACGTCGCCCACATTCTGAACAACCGGGCGGGGTTGTTGATGAAGCAGGTGAGAGCCAAAAGCATACAGTAGCGGCTACGGTTTAAGAGAGGGTCGGTACAAGCGAATTTCTCTCTCTTAAATCCGGCTTTATCTTATACCGTGTCGGCTACGGTACAAGATAATATTCTCTTTAAATGATACGATTTTAAGAGAATATTCTCTTATACCGTAGCCAAATCGAAAGCGCGCCAGAGAGAGACGCTCTTGTCCGAACTATATGGCGTAGGAGGTCGTAGAGAGTGTATCATTCAATGTCGCGTAACGCAGCAAGCATTACCACGTCGGGCTACCTCCAAACACCGCTCATTCTCTTGGTTGGCGAGCACGTGGACCCAAGTACGTGGTGCGCTTTTGGTGGATCTGCGCTTGGAAAATAAATAATCATCGTGTCATGCGATGCACATTTTGCACGTGGACACGCAAAGTCGGTACAGTAGTAGTTTTGTTGTTGTTTTATAGGTGTGTTTCATGCTCGCACCTCTTCTAGAAGGACAACACGAGGCTACGAATGCACCAGCACTCAAGAAAGACGCACCCGTTTACACACTGCACCCCTTCCTCCCACCGTACCCTCAACACAACACCCTCAACCTCTCATCCCATCGATTTAAACCCCCGACAAAACACGAGTCAACGAAACAAAAAAAACTTCACATTATCAAGACATCACTCGCCCTACAAATAACACAAACCGTTTCGCCGGAACGTAACACATCAATCGTGTTTGGCGGCCGTGGTGGTGAGCTTTACGTTTAAGCGCTACTTAACCCCGGTTGTCGCATGGAGCTTTTCACGCAGGTTAGGTTATGCCGGAACCAAACACATCAATCGTGTTTGGCGGCCGTGGCTGGTGAGCTTCGTTTTGAACAGTGCCACCTGCCAGGTTTGTCGCATGGGGCGATTCATGCAGATTTATTTTTAATGCTGGTACCGGTCGTGTGTGACGGCCGTGGTTGGTGAGCTTCTGCTACCTACCACGCCACGAAATAGACCGTGTACCAGGTAGGCTTCTATTTCTGCTGCTACATAGACGAGTATATTGCCGTCGGTAAGGGTGATCGGTCGCTGGATTTCTCGCACTATTGCCAAAGACCGAGCCTATTGACAGATGACTTGCGCAATCTATTGCAAATTGAAATGCCTGTCGAATGTCACGATAGACATCGTTGGCAACAACAGACTTCGAAGGCTTCCTTCCGATAGACATTGCGGGCAGTATTAGAAGAAGCCTTCGAACATGTTCTCGTGCAGGTGGATATCCTTTACGACCTTGAGGACAGATTGCTCGAGATAACGACTATCGATGTTGCGTTTCGATATATATCGGTAGCCCGCTCAAGAATCTACAGCAGTAAACGATGTATACAGTTAGCGCGGGCCCCGCAATTAAGAAACGCTTATTTCAGGTCCAGCCTCGAATTCTTATTGTGGGCTATAAACTCAGCGTATATCGTTCAGTTTCTTATATCATGTTTCTTATTTTTTCGTGCAGCCAAATCCTGCTGAATTTCTTCAATCGGCAATTTCTTATTTCTCTGCTTTCCTCGCCTCCCGTACTCAACCCCGATTCTCACTACCGACGGCTGCACGTAAGGCCACTCCCTAGAAGCGAAATGTATCCAACGGCAACGGCTTGCTATCGCTACAAGGTCTTGTACCCCCCTCATGAGTGGGGGCTGAAACTAAACAAATGCATGAACACCGCATGATGCCTCACCCGCACGCTGACATGCCAACAACGAAAATCAGAGCTTTAGCGCCAGCAGAGCAGAGCGCAGAGCCCGCAGGGGGCCGGAGGGGGCGCCGCAAAAAAAAACACTCCCCCCTCGGCGTACAACTAAAAATAATGCACTATGGGAGGGGGGGGGGTAGGGGGAGAGGGGGAAAGAGCGAGAGAGCTGTGGGGTTTGTTTCTTATTCGACACACTCCCCCGTAACCCCTCGTTTCTTATGTAGTAGGGCAGCGGTCGCTGCTGTGTTTCTTATTGAGATATTTCTTAATTGTGTGACTCAGATTGAGCAATGTTTCTTAACCCTATTTTCTTATTTTTCGTGAAAAAGTGAGCCTCAATTTCTTAACAAAATATTTCTTAATGGCGGGCGCCAATTGTATCGATGACATGTCATGAACCCAGTGGCAATGGCTTCCGAGAAAACCGTTGAACGTCTGTTTCTATGCACAATTCATATCAATAGGCACCATCGAAATCTGTTACGGTTGACAACAGATATCTACAGAACCTTTTGAATAATTTGTTGTCCTTGACAAGGGAGGTCGAAAGGAACTTTCAAAATCTACTGTTTTGGACAATGGATATCGGGACAAACCTCTCAAAATCTATGGTCCCCGACAAGGGATGTCGACATTTGATGTTGTCACTCGTGGCCCATTGTAGAAACCTACCAGGTTTGTCGCATGAGGCGGTTCTTCAGATCAGTTTATGCCGGAACCAAACACATCAATCGTGTTTGGCGGCCGTAGCTGGTGAGCTTCACTTTGTACAGTGTTTCCTACCAAGGTTGTGGCATGGGGAGATTTTGCCAGGGTTGCCGCATGGGGCGATTCTCGCCGGTTTGTGTATGCCGGGACCAATCACACCAATCGTATTTGGCGGCGGTGGCTGGTGAACTTCATTTTGGAACAGTGCTACTTGTCAGGATTGTCGCATCGGGCAATTCAGACACATTTGTTCAAGCCGGAACCAAGCACATAAATCGTGTTTGGCGACCGTGGTTGGTAGCTTCTTGTTTCTGAACATGGATATCTACCAGGGTCGTCGCATTGGTCGATTCACGCAGATCAGTTTATGCCGGGACCAAACACATGACTCGTGTCTAGGGGCCGTGGTCGGTGAGCTTGACCGGAACAGTGCTACGTACGAGAATTGTCGCAGATTGACGCAGACTTGTGTATGCCGGCACCGGACGCATCAATCGTGTTTGACGGTCCAGGTCGGTGCTTCGTATTGACCAGTGCTAACTAGCAGGGGTTCCGCAGTGGACGACTCAAGCAGATATATTTGTGCCGGGATCGTGATTGGCGACCGTGGTTGGTAGGCTTGTTGTTCTCGCAGCAGTACATACCAGAGTGTCGCATCGTGCGGTCTACGCAGCCCATTCTTTTGCGGGGGCCACAAATATCACTTGTGCTTGGCGGTCATGAAGTTTGCGGCATATCACAGATGTCGCTTTGCACGGTTCACGCAGCCATGAATGCATCACGAGGAATAAAATCTAACTAGGCGACGGAACTAAACACGTCTACAATGTTTTGCAGATGGGGTGGGAGCGTTAGGTTTTCGAAGCGATGCCAACTGCGATGGTCGCGCTATGACGATTCGCGCAGTCTTACCATCCATTCATATTGCGCTCGGTCAGTGTCTACCGGAACAAGACACATCAATCGTGGCTGGCGGTGTGGTGCGGTAGTTGTTGCAACGATGTTGCCTACCGAGGCCGTCGCATTCGTGTGATTCCTGCAGACATGTCGATCAGAACTTGGTTGCCAGTATCTGCTTAGACCACCCAATCTAACGTATCCCAGTCATATCATGGTGATTTCTGCGAGTGGTGATGGAGTTCCGGTTGCAAAACGCTGTCTAATGCGGCCAGCGCATTCGCAAAACATCCGGCAATCATGGCAATCAAAATATGTTTTCAACATTGCCACTGCGAATCACATGAATTTATTGTGATTGGCGACCATGATTTGTAGGCTTGGTTTCGAACAGTGCTGACAGGGTTTTCGCGGTGGGCGATTCACGCGGATATATTATGCCGACAACCAAACGCATGAGTCGTGAATGGCGGCCGTGGGTGTGGGCGTGTTCCTAGCAACAACAGTGCTTCCCGCGGTTGTCGCATTCGAGCGATTCTCACTATCCAGTAGAATCACGAACATGGCAGAACATGGTGTGGATTTGTCAGTATCCGCCAGGACAAAACAACCAACATTCGTTGTTGGTTCTGTGGTAGGGCCGCCTGTTTCATACAGTAGTGCCGTAACGGCTTTTTGCTACTCCGGGTTTTTAGTCTCAAGTGAAAACTGATTCGAGGACATGATGAAGATGGCGTGGATGACTGTCGTGTGGTTTCTCCAACAATAACACCTTGTTCTTAGCGCAGGCATTTACGGCGCATTTCAGTGCCACACAGCGTTTCGTTCGTGTATGTGTGCATATGGTGTAGGTTAAAATATGTTTGACGTGCACTAGTGAATGCATACGATGAAAAAAACAACAACCATGGAGACCCTCCCGGGGTAACCTTTTTCGTACACCGTTGGTCAAGCCTCAAACTCTTACGGTGGGCCGAAAACTCAGCGCGTTGTTCAACTTGTCATTGTGTCAAGTTCCTTTTCCCCCCGTGATTCCGAATCCTGCCTAGTTTGTTAGGCGGGCGTCAAGTGTCGTGTGTTTCGGTGTTGCGGTGGTTATATTCCCCGAGATGACCCAAGAGCCAGAATAAAAACGCTTTGTTTGGGGTTCGGCCGCTAAATCAGGTCTCCTCACGGAGGGTCCTTCGCAGGCGCCTTCGTGAAAGACAACAACATACAGTAGTGCCTTACACTGAATAAACTAGAACAATAATTCACATAGGCAGGACACTCCAAGCGAACACATCCCCAGCCACACGACGGGGCTCCGGTCGCCTGTCTCCGGTCGCCTGTCTCCGGTGAAAATGTAAACGCTTGAGTCTCAACCCCCACACGGTCATTGTTCAGCGAAAATGATGGAGCTTTTCACGTTCTCTCGTGGTGAGTGAAAAACAAGTCTTCTCGATGGAAAAACCACCCCCGTCAAACGCGAAGCCGTTACCCCGAGCATGAGAGATATTTTGTACGCCGACCAGGCGGGAGAGTGCAACTACTGGAGGAGAGCCATTGCACAGTCACCCGCTGATTTCGACTGCGACCACGTCGTGCCCGTAAAATACGGCGGGGTCACTTGCCGGCAAATTTTGCAGCTTCTCTGCGTGTCTTGTCATAGATCAAAGAGTGCACTCGAGCGCCGCACGGGAGCATCCACTTTCGCCAGCAATTCCGTTCTCGTTAAACCTGAGCCTGGTTTCCCAATCGTAAAACCGGCTGACTTCCCGGGATTGGAAGCGGGAATTCACTCGCTAGACTACGGGGGGCACAGGACGCCACGCCCTGCCGACAATCATGTGGACAAGAAAATCGCACGCGCCCACGATAGTGTCAGCCGAGACGAGCAGGCTTTCTGTTGTGCCCGTGCTAGATGCACTCGTGAGGCACATTGGATTCAGTGGACTCCACGACACCACAACGGAGATATGCCTTCAACACGTAGACATGAAACACGCAGAGTGTAGGAAGCTTTTCAGGAAGCTCCGCAAGCTGATCGGTGGCAGCATGAGAAACAAAACATACAGTGGAATACTTGGACCGTGGCTCAATCGTTTTGCGGGGGTGAGGTTGGTACGTCGTCAGATGGGAAAAGAAAAACAGGCGTAGCGTGTACAGGCTCTGCCCGTGCGCACGCGGGGGAGTGGAAACGGAATTAGATAAGCAGTTAAATGACCCATGACGAGGGAAGCGTGTGCTCCCCGAGCAGTGACGCACAAAAGGTCATAACACCATCACGCCACACAGTGACAGCAGGGTCGTTCCGCATGGTGAGGTCCGCGCCGTCGTCGTGAATGTGTCTCTTCTATTGTTCAACTCATGATTCATCCCCCCTACCTCTTACGCTTCGCATTCTGCTTGTACACTCACACACGTTTACCTTCTATGGTCTCCGGGACACCACACAGCCTCTGAATCCCAGGCCAAACGTAGGTGCAACACGCACCGCAGCTTTGTCGAACAGGGATCAACCGGTGCGGAAGCAGGGGGATAGATTCGGGGACTACTCCAACGGAAGGGCGGCCTCACCCGCTTTTGGATGGTTTCGAGGGCCAATACACCAACATACAGTCAAAGCCTTTTCGGTGATATCCGGTGCACACACACGGGTCTCAACCGCTTTTGTATAGGGTCTCGAGGGCCAACACACACACAGTCGAAGCCCCCCTCTACTGCATGATTTCCAGTGTAAAAACACCTACGGTCGAAGCCTCTGCTTTTGCCCCCACCCTCCCCAATACGGCACCGGCACTGCGCAACTGTGAACGGGCCCGATGGAAGACTATTCATCACCCCAGTCCTTCGCCTTGATGCCCTGTAAGATCGCTCTGAATGTGGTACGTTCCTTCGGCTCCCCACACCAGCAGGCGTTGGCGATGTCCACGACATCAGCAGGAGCGTCTACATGGAACGAAGGTCGAACCCCCCTCAACACCGCGGTCAATATGTCGCGAGAACGGGTCTTTTTCGCCCAAGGCACTTCTCTGGAGATTACCTCCCACACCACGATCCCAAAGCTGTAGACATCGCTCTCGTAAGAGCTTCCTTCTGACTCGAGCACCTGCGGATGTACGTTACAAAACACCTCTTAGAATCGGCGGAGATGGAAACATTATCGGTGGGACACCGCCCCTTGCGGGCCAACCTGCGTGGTATCGGGCTTGCTTGTGGAATTTCGCCGTTTCTTCGACAGTCATCCACACACACGCAAGAGCTGGGCCAAGTCAACCCAACCCTACCATCAACATTCGCTGCACCAAGCCAGGAAGTAACTTTCATTTTCAGGAAGGGCTTTTTCAATATCGCATAATATCGCGCTGTGTGTCGCAAACAACATAGCTTGAGACTTTCAAGTAAATGGCGTTGAGACGAAATCACGAATGAGTAGGTTAAGAGGCAGAACTGCCGAGTGACCCAGACGTCAGGCAGCGACGCCCCAAAAAAGAAAGCTCTGAACCGCATGCCGCGCGATCTTTCGAGGAGACAAGACAAATGGAGTCCATCTGTTGGTTGCTTTCAACTTGATGCCGTGCTAAATCCCCGTCAGCAACTACCGGAACTCTTTCCAGCTCCCAGCCTAGATGCAAGGGTTCCCGAGTTCCCGAACCCGGACAATTATCTGCAGTAACGAAACTCCACCTCTTTGGCCTGCCTTCAAGGATCAAGACGTCCTCCTACGGTCATCCGAGAGTAACAATTGGACAGGCACCCACGAAGACAAGCAAATGCGACCCGAGCCGATTTTATGCCAAACAAACTGTGAATGGTGCAGAATGCATACAACGAACGACTACAGTAGCCCCCCACGAGGACTTAACTTCGAGCTTCACAAGGGCAAGGTTTGGCCGAACGGGCGATGTATGTACGTGCAAATTCGGCCATTTCAGACCCAACACGTAAAGAGGTGCGAAAACTTCGTACCTCCGGTGCGCTCCAGGCGATGCTCATCTGAGTGGTCTGGCTTGATCTGGTGGTGTACGTTGCCAGACCGGTGGAGTTTGTGGTCTGCGTCCACCGGGACGTACCGAAGTCCGCGATCTGCGACGAAAAAACCGAAGCCGACCAGAAAACGCGATGTCTTTGGTACATCTAGCGAAGAATGTTCGGTGGTGTGAAGTTTTGTGCCTGTGTCGAGCCAACCGAAGGCAAACCCTAGCAGTACCGGCGTATCGCATGCCCATCGACCGGATGGATGGTCCTGTACCGAACATTACCAAGTGTTCCGCTGCATGTGAAACTCAAGACCAGTGGTGGTGGCACACGGCATACGGTCGGCATGTTCATGCCGGAAGACAAGAAAAAAACCCCCGTCTTCAACGGATGGGTCTCCACGCCAGTTACGTGCGAGAAACTCAACAACTCAGCTCGCGCTTTCCGACAGAGCGCGCATGTGCAAGACGGCAAAGACAAAACCTCATAGGCGCGACAAACTCATGATACCATCGGTGACGAAAAACACAACAGCGCAACAAGCGAGCGTGGGCCTTCAAAAAAAGGACGTATCAAATGGGTTCCTTATGCCAACGGAATCACCTTCGCCCTGCCGTCGCCATCCAGAAGCACGTTAGCCGACTTAAGGTCGCCGTGGACGGTGTTCTTGCCGTGCAGGAAAGCCATGCCGGTGCAGATATCTCGGATGATGCGCCTTGACTGCTGCCCGGGGAGTGCCTTCTTGGACTTTCTGAGCAACGTGAGGAGATCTCCGCCTGCTAGCAACTCCATGACGAGCACCATACGGTCTGGCAGAGACGTGACTGCTCCGTAGACGTTGACCGTGTTGAGGCTCCGCAGGCGGATCATGGCTTCCAGCTCACGCAAGAAAGCTCTGTGCTGGCTCGCCTCCCGCTGCTTTTGGGTCTCGTCAAGTGCGCCCATTCGGGCGATATGCAGCACCTGCATTTGTTTTCCAAACCCCAAACAGACATGATATGAGCGACATTTGGGTCCGAAAAAGGGAAACCAAATCCACAGACCAAACGAACATGAAGACAGGTACAGGCCAGCCGGAGGAGACGGGCAAACGTGAGTCGATTAGGGTACATCCATCGAGGAATATACATAAGGGTACATTCATCGAACTGGCCTAGGAATTGCGGCTTCGTCATCGATCACCCTGGTGTGTTGGCGAGGAGGCACCTGTCATCGTGCGCTGCAAATCGACGAGTAGCTTATATCGAAGCCACTCAGAAATGTTCTTTCGTCTTTCCGTTCATGTGTGTGGCGGGGTCGTGTAGCACGAATCAATGTCATTCCGCATAGCTATCCAACCGCGTCTATCGTTCAAGATGAGTCCATTTCACACCTTCGCCGCTGCATTGTGGCCGTTGTAGTCGGCCAGGTACACCTCGCCAAAGCCTCCCTTTCCCAGGAGCTCGTCTGTGATGGACAGGTATTCCGCAGGAATCTCGACTTGGTCAAGCTTGCGCTGCCGCTTGACGCGACGATCCTCTGCCACGGACTCGGATGCAGCCTCCGAGAGGGAAAGCTGCCAAAACGAAGAGGCCACGACCGCACACAGTGGAAATACAAAGAGGTCATCAGGAAATTCTAAAACTGCTCAATATACCAGGACTCACACTGCTCATTGAATACAACTAGATCGGTGTCCCAGTTCGCTTGCGCCAAATAACCAACTTACCTGATAAAGGTCAATTCCCTCCTTGACTGAGTCAAGCTTATCCTTGACCGCGCCCACGTCTTGTCCAACTTGCAGCTGAAGCCCCAACTGGATGGCGACAAGCAGAAACCGGGGGAAATGCTGATCTTAGCCTAAACAGGGTTAGTTCGTAGAGGACGTACACCCAAGGCCTAAGTTGCGCAAATGTCAGCACTCTTCGCAGCAGGGGACAACAGACCCCATGTGGCCCAGAAGCTCAAGAGAATTCGCTCACCTGCAGACGCATGATTGCTTGATCCACTACGGCATTAAGCTCCTCTTGGCGCCGCTTGAACAGCGTCGACATGAACAACCTTGAAAGCTTGTTCTTGCTTTGGTAGGTTTTTATTAGCTGGACTAGATCGAAGATGGCCCCGTGCACGTCTTCAATCATCCCACGCGCCACCTCACCAATCGTGTCTCCGCCCTGGACAACAACGTTCCGTGAAAAGAGGCCACAAGGCAAGCCAAAGGTTGTGCACAGCTTCGACATCCGTGAACAATTTCTCAAACGGCTTGTGATAAAATTTGTGCAATTCACCGAGCAGAATGTGAAACTCTCCAAACTCCAAATATACCCAAGCTTTGTCAACTCATCGTGAAAAGAGGCCACACGGCGGGTGTGTACAAGAACGCACCGCAACGGCCTGTGCGTACGATGTACAGCTCAGACGAAGCGTTATCAACTCACCTTGTCGGCCACCTTCGCCGCCCGCTTGAGCGCCATAACGACCGTGCTGCACTGCCGAAGTCTTGATTCACTCGCCCTGGCGTTGTCGCGGCCATCCGTCACCAGGGTCGCCATCATGCACACCGCTGTGGCCGCCTCGCTGACGCCAGGGATCTGGCAATGATGCACCAGCTCTTGGGCTGCCGCCAAGACGGCGCGGCCAAGCCCGATGTCGGCCGAGTTTTGGTCGTCAGCTGCTGAGGAGGCTCCAGGGCCGCCGCTGGAGGCTTCTTCGGGTTTGAGTTCGCCGGAGACCGGCGCGGCATCCGCTACGCGCTCTCTCTGGTGAAATTGGGAAAGCTCGTCCCGTTCCGCTGTCGACAGATTGGCAGTGGAAGTTGTAGCAGAGGTGGCTGCCGGCAGCTTCTCCGCTGAGCCAGCGCTGGCGAGCCGAGCACGACAATCTTTGGCAGCATGTTCAGCGCTCGCCTCCACCTCGCCGTCGAGTGCAGATGCTGCTGGGAGCGGGACGATGCCTTCCCTTTCAACTCCGTCGGCTTCCGTCGTCAGTGCTTTGCGACGAAGCGATGCGTTGTCCTGGTGCGAAGGCGCCATGTCGTCTCCGTTGCCTGCGACAACCACTGCCGAGTATGGAGGGCGGAAGATGTCCAGCGGCTGTTCGCCGCCGTGCTCGACGTTGCCGTCGTCGTGGGTGGGAGGAGCCGCGGACGCTTTAGTCGTTTTCTGTCTTGAGGCTCGCCGCCTCCTCAAGAACACAGCGAGTGCGATGAGGGCCGCCCCAGCAACTGCAGAAACTATCCCCGCTACGGTAGGTGTAGAGTCGGAGGTCGACGTTTGTTCGGGAGAAGACGTAGTTACAGGACTGGTGGTTGAGGTGACGCCCAATGAAGGCGCTGGTGTCGGGATCGGCGAAGTTGCTGCGAGTTACAGAGTCGGTGCGGCAGTCGGCATCGGGGGTGTGAAAGCAGGACATACGGTCAAATCGATTGCGACGCACGGAGTCTTTTATGAAGCCTGCGGCGAACGCCGGAAACCCATGGGTGCAAAGGGGAAAGCAGGACATGTATGCCGAGACCCGGAATTTCTAACTAAAACGTTTTACTTTTCGTTGAGTTCAAAATCCAGTAAAAAGACAAGCATAAATCCCGGGAGCAGTCAAAATTCAGAATCTGAAGTGACTGATCAAGCTCATCATTTGATACCGACGAATCCAGCAGAGCTTTTCTCGTCTGCTGACCTGGCATTCTTTTGGAGGACGGGTTGACAAGAAAAATACAAAGTCCGCGTGGGAAAATGAGCCTTGATGTGGGTGTTTATAGGTTGAGGAACAATTACAACCCATACCTGCACCATGAGCAAAGTGCATCCTCTTCAAGGGATATCAACGCTAGCTCATCAGCGGTTCAACGGGAAAAATGCATCGCTAGACCGAATACTGACGGCATATTCAATGCACAGGAGGGAGAGATGCGACATAAACTGGCAGCTGCAGGCACACCTTCGGGAAACAACCAGTCGGTAATAAAGAAAATGAAAAAATTGTGGTCACACTTGAGCCAAGAGTTTCCGACCGCTTCGTAGTGGTGTCCCACACTTCTGCATCTGTTGCCAACCATGTATATCCATGTCTTTTGGACGAACTGTTCATCTTATGAAGTGTATGTCCACGTAATTTTGGCCGACAAGTTGAAAGTCTTGGATTCCTCTTCATTCTTTCCTCACCTGGCGTCTCGCCTGACTCTGCAGGCGCCGCGGTTGCAGCCACAGGCGCCGCGGTTGCAGCCACAGGCACCGCGGTTGCAGCCACAGGCGCCGCGGTTGCAGCCACAGGCGCCGTGGTTACAGCTGGCGAAGGAGCGGGAGTAAGAACTGCAGCTGAGCAAGAGCGCCGCGCGGGGAGACATAACAATGGGGCGGTGGTGGCGGGTGAGATGAGAATTTGTGAGCGAAGGGACTGCAGAGGGCTGTGCGGTGGGGTCTGTCGTCAAAACAAGCGACAGGAGTAGTACAAGCGAAGGCGTGCTGACCACTTGAGGAGTAACAAGTGCAAGCGAGACTACCGCACGGGGCCTGTCGCATGGGCACCGAGAACACATGCAGATGGAGGTAACGGGACGGTGCGGAAGAAATTGTGCCACGAACTTGTACTGAAAAGAGCATGCAATAATGTCAAAGCAGATCCAAATACCACATTATTAACAGCTATCATCGCCCCGGTGGTCTAGTTGGTATCCTCGAAACCTTCTAGAGGTCAGGTCAGGGATTCCAATCCCGGCGTAAGCGAGTTTCCTTGCAAAGTGAGTTTTTATCTCGCTTCCGCTTCTGGCCTAGTGGATAGCGCTACTTCGTGTGTACACAGAAGGGAAGAGAGTGCTGAACTCTTCTCGCATTTGAAATCGAAGGCGAAGTACCGCAGGAGGGGAGGGTAGAGCGGGGCTCTTCTGTGTGACCACGTGTTGGAGTAAAACGGCACTAGTGCTGTGAGCGCTGATTAGAAATGAAGTAAAAAAAAAACAATACGACATGCAAATACAACCGTATCCACGCTTCGCAAGGCCCCGGCCGCTTTTGTCTTACCACAGGTATATCCCACGGGTCCAGGGGTACAAGTTTCCTCGCCGCACACGTTGTCGGTCACGTTTGCAACGGAACACCCTGGGAACGTCGACGGCAAAATCAGCTCCGCTTTCAGTCGCACTGTTGTGAAGGATTTGGTGTTTTGACACGGAAAAAACAACGCCAACATCCATCGCCCGGCAATGACAATCCGAACATCAAGCTGGTCCAAGGAGGTGCGTGGGCTCAGAACGTTGAACTGTCAACGAGAGTAACGCAACGATTACAGCACTCCACTCGCAGAGCAGATCCGGGGGGAACAGGTTGCAAATACGCCTTTTGACCGCGGGGACATGCATCTCATGTACGGCGCAGCTGCGGCGACGCTCTTTCCAGGCGATGTCACAGCGCAAGCAAAAGCGATCTGTCCGGAACATGGGGCGCCGCCGCGTCACGTTTCGCTTCACTGCACCGTTCACCATGGGGGGCGATATCCAAGTGTCCGCACCCGTGCAGCATAGCCACTCACCGCACTCATCGCCGTACAAGTCCACATGGAGTCCGTCGGCCCAATCAGTGGCATCATCATCGACTTCCACCCTGCCATTTTTAGCGCAGAAGGTTGTCATGATGATGTTATCAACACAGAAGTTAACGTTGAACTGACGATGCAAGGAAGCAGTGTCCAATAAAAAAAGTTGGGACAGCTCAAGTGCGCGATCGAAATTCATCGCACGTCGGAACGTCCAGAACGACGCTGAAGCTAGAGGGACATTCGCTGCCTAGTATTGCGTTGATCTTGCCGCCCAAAATATCGGTTTCCTCACAATATTGACGTGGGCAAGCACTCCAGCTCGTTCCCGTCCAATTTCCTTGAAATCACAAGCCGGCACCGGGAAAGTGACGCCGACGCGGGATCATGCACAGAAGAACGGCCCACGCAGGCACCAGACGATGTCGATGGGAGGGATTAGCGTGGTGATTGTCACCAACACATCACAGTCGCAAACGCTCAGCCACGGTGACCACAACAACACGACCATGAGTCAGTGTCAAACGTCAGTCTACCCATGGGCCATCTCTGGATCTACCTTCAAGTGAATGCGCGTCAAGAGAAACCCTCTACAAAAGAGGGCGCAGCGGAGAAAGACGTTGGACCTGATAAGTTTAATCGTATACCGAATGCACCTCGTGAGAGGACTCAATCCGTGGACTGCGGTTAGTGGGCATCCCGCCTGTACAACATTCGGTTCAGGTGTAGAGGCAAAGCCCCACGTCGCGCTCTTACATGACCCCGGCTACGTCGTCTACCGACCTGACCTCGAGCTACCCACTGCAACAGGAGAACTTGAAAAAACAAATAAATACCATATATGTATGAAGCGACATGCTTTCGCATGAGAACATGGTCTGAAGATTTCGCATGAGAATGGCGCGTTTCATTTTCGAAGGGCACACAATCGCGCCTTCACAGCATACTAGAATGTCCATTCCAAAAGAAATTTTGCTGATGATGTTTGGTGTTCCCTCTTGAACAGTCTCGATCTGCACGGGCAAGCATCCCCGCGTCGTACAGCAACTCACAGCTCAGCCAGCGCCGTCAAGCCCTCGAAGATCCCCGCCGGCAGGGTGGTGAGAGTGTTGTTATACAGCCGCCTTCCGGTGTCGGGTAACGGACCGACGCAGCACACAAGACACCTCAGTAAGCCGGGGAAAATAATCAGAACTGCCGTACATGCCACCGACCAGCCCACCCATGTGCACGGACGACGCTCGGATACACTGATGGTTGAACCAACCACTCGCAACTGACGGCATCAGTCATTCCAGCCGGCGGCTGGACTTCAGCTGCAATGGGTCAGAGAGGGGGATCGGGTACACTCTAGGGGGATCGGGTACACTCTAGGCATCGCAGGGCTCTCCAATCAAAGCCATCACGTGGCCTATGCGACTGCCCAGCCCAAAGGAAAACCTGTACGGACGCCCTCCCCACAGCAACCAAACGTGCACCGACGACACTCGTTAAACCTTCGTGTTCGCTCTATAGAACGCCGAAAGACACCCCCGCGTCGTACAGCAACTCACAGCTCAGCCAGCGCCGTCAAGCCCTCGAAGATCCCCGCCGGCAGGGTGGTGAGAGCGTTGTTGCCCAGCGACCTTCCGGTGTCGGGGTAACGGACCGACGGAGCACACAAGACACCTCAGTAAGCCGGGGAAAATCATCAGCACTGCCGTACACGCCACCGACCAGCCCACCCGTGTGCACGGACGACGCTCGGATACACTAATGGTTGAACCAACCACTCGCAACTGACGGCATCAGTCATTCGAGCCGGCGGCTGGACCGCAGCTGCAATGGGTCAGAGAGGGAGATCGGGTACGCTCTAGGCATCGCAGGGCTCTCCAATCAAAGCCATCACGTGGCATATGCGACTGTCCAGCCCACACAAAAAGAAGTGCGGACGTACCTCTCCACAGCAACCAAACGTGCACCGACGACACTCGTTAAACCTTCGTGTTCGCTCTATAGAACGCAGAAAGACACCCCCGCGTCGTACGGCAACTCACAGCTCAGCCAGCGCCGTCAAGCCCTCGAAGATCCCCGCCGGCAGGGTGGTGAGAGTGTTGTTATACAGCCGCCTTCCGGTGTCGGGTAACGGACCGACGGAACACACAAGACACCTCAGTAAGCCGGGGAAAATAATCAGAACTGCCGTACACGCCACCGACCAGCCCACCCGTGTGCACACACGACGCTCGGATACACTGATGGTTGAACCAACCACTCGCAACTGACGGCATCAGTCATTCGAGCCGGCGGCTGGACCTCAGCTGCAATGGGTCAGAGAGGGGGATCGGGTACACTCTAGGCATCGCAGGGCTCTCCAATCAAAGCCATCACGTGGCCTATGCGACTGCCCAGCCCAAAGGAAAACCTGTACGGACGCCCTCCCCACAGCAACCAAACGTGCACCGACGACACTCGTTAAACCTTCGTGTTCGCTCTGTAGAACGCCGAAAGACACCCCCGCGTCGTACAGCAACTCACAGCTCAGCCAGCGCCGTCAAGCCCTCGAAGATCCCCTCCGGCAGGGTGGTGAGAGCGTTGTTATCAAGGTACCTTCCGGTGTCGGGGTAACGGACCGACGGAGCACACAAGACACCTCAGTAAGCCGGGAAAATTCATCAGCACTGCCGTACATGCCACCGACCAGCCCACCCATGTGCACGGACGACGCTCGGATACATTGATGGTTGAACCAACTCTTAGCAACAGACGGCATCCATCATTCGAGTCGCCGGCTGGACGTCAGCTGCATTGGGTCAGAGAGGAGGACCGGGAACGCTTTAGGCATCGCAGGGCTCTCCAATCAAAGCCATCACGTGGCATATGCGACTGCACAGCCCAAGTGAAATATTGTGCGGACGTCCTCCCCACAGCAACCAGACGTGCACCGATAACACTCGTTAAAACTTCATGTTCGCTCTGTAGAACGCCGAAAGACACCCCCGCGTCGTACGGCAACTCACAGAAGTTCCAGCGCCGTCAAGCCCTCGAAGATCCCCGCCGGCAGGGTGGTGAGAGCGTTGTTGCCCAGCGATCTTCCGGTGTCGGGGAAAGCGACCAACGGAGCACACAAGACAACTCAGTAAACCGGGGAAAATCATCAGCACTGACGTACACGCCACCGACCAGCCCACCCGTGTGCACGGACGACGCTCGGATACACTAATGGTCGAACCAACCACTCGCAACAGACGGCATCGATCGTTCGAGCCGGCAGTTGGACCTCAGCTGCAATGGGTCAGAGAGGGAGATCGGGAACGCTCTAGGTATCGCAGGGCTCTCCAATCAAAGCCATCACGTGGCATATGCGACTGTCCAGCCGAAAGGAAAAATTGTGCGGACGTCCTCTCCACAGCAGCCCGACGTGCACCGACAACAACCGTTAACATTTTGTGTTCGCTCTATTGAACGCCGAAAGACACCCCCGCGTCGTACAGCAACTCACAGAATTTCCAGCGCCGTCAAGCCCTCGAAGATCCCCGCCGGCAGGGTGGTGAGAGCGTTGTCGCCCAGCGATCTTCCGGTGTCCGGGAAAGCGACCAACGGAGCACACAAGACACCTCAGTAAGCCGGGGAAAATCGTCAGCACTGACGTACACGCCACCGACCAGCCCACCCGTGTGCACGGACGACGCTCGGATACACTAATGGTCGAACCAACTCCTCGCAACAGACGGCATCGATCGTTCGAGCCGGCAGCTGGACTTCAGCTGCAATGGGTCAGAGAGGGAGATCGGGAACGCTCTAGGCATCGCAGGGCTCTCCAATCAAAGCCATCACGTGGCATATGCGACTGTCCAGCCGAAAGGAAAAATTGTGCGGACGTCCTCTCCACAGCAGCCCGACGTGCACCGACAACAACCGTTAAAATTTTGTGTTCGCTCTGTAGAACGCAGAAAGACACCCCCGCGTCGTACAGCAACTCACAGAAGTTCCAGCGCCGTGAAGCCCTCGAAGATCCCCGCCGGCAGGGTGGTGAGAGCGTTGTCATAAAGGTACCTTCCGGTGTCGGGGAAAGCGACCAACGGAGCACACAAGACAACTCAGTAAACCGGGAAACTCATCAGCGCTGACGTACACGCCACGACCAGCCCACCCGTGTGCACGGACGACGCTCGGATACACTGATGGTTGAACCAACCACTCGCAACCGACGGCATCGATCACTCGAGCCGGCGGCTGGACCTCAGCTGCATTGGGTCAGAGAGGGAGATCGGGAACGCTCTAGGCATCGCAGGGCTCTCCAATCAAAGCCATCACGTGGCATATGCGACTGTCCAGCCGAAAGGAAAAGTTGTGAGGACGTACCTCTCCACAGCAGCCCGACGTGCACCGACAACACTCGTTAAACTTTCGTGTTCGCTCTATAGAACGCAGAAAGGCACCCCCGCGTCGTACAGCAACTCACAGCTCAGCCAGCGCCGTCAAGCCCTCGAAGATCCCCGCCGGTAGGGCGGTGAGAGCGTTGCCATATAGCCATCTTCCGGTGTCGGGGGAGCGACCGACGGAGCACACAAGACA